TACAGGGTAGATAGTAAAAATTGTAAAGGTATATATATTAGAGTAAGAGTTCTCAATGTGAGTTTCCAAACCATACAGGCAATTGTAGTTCATTCCAGAATTTAAGGTTAAAATTGTTGATTTGTAAAATAGACTTTCTAAAAATTTAAATTAATTAATAACAAAATTAAAATCAATGAAAGGTAATGTATGGAAAAATTTTTATTTGGTTTATACATTCATATTACACTAAAAATGGTTTGATTCTATTATATTACAGCACAACAAAAATAATACAAAAAAATGTTTTGTTGATTTTGTTTGTGCAATTGATGTTGCATTGTTACAATTTCTAATCATAGTAAGCAAAAAGTTAGTGTAGATATAATTAAAAATGTTTTTTTCAATGCAGTGGAGGTGTATGGTGTTCTTAAATAGAGATTAAAAAAAATAATAATTTCCTTAAAAATAATGTTTTATTGTTGTATTTTTAACCCTTAAGATGGCCCAAAAAAAAAATGTTAGGACATAATTTTTCTAATATTTATTGTTTTCAAGTTTGATTAAGTTGTTTTGTTGGCGAGTCTACAGAGATACAATGCCAAGTAAAGGGTTAATATTAGATGAATCAAAATATTAAAACAGAAGTCGTGGTCAGACTATTTTGATAATTTAATAATATTTCATAGGATGATGACAGAAAGGTTTAGTTCCTTTTAGTTTTTAAATATTCACACAAAATTATTAATGAGTAATAAATTGTATGTGAGTAGATTGTATTACCTAAAATTAATCAGAAGTCAAATATAAAGATTGTTATTACTGAAAATATATTAAAATTGGAGGAGAGGATGATACACATATTTAGTATCATCTGTATTACAATAGATGGCGACAGTAGTAGTTCGCTTAAACTACAACTTTTGCCATCTACTGTAACACGATGGTACTTGATATACGATGGTACAGATCTAGTGGATACTGCTGAAATCGGAGTGAACTAATGAATTAGTTCAATAAGGTGTACTGAATTAAGGAGACTAGTTCTTTTAGTTAAAAAGAACGGTTTTGCTTATCACTAGTTTATATCATAGCAGTCCTCATCAGGAGGTTCTTAAGTTTTAAACTTATTCTTGACATCTATTTCCAATTGAATTCTAATTGGTAGATTTTTTAATTCTTCCAAATTAAAATTATTGATATCGAAACGGTTTTCTTTTCTTTTTTTTATATTAAGTTTTTGTCGAAGTTTCGCGATTACCAATTCATGATCGGACCCATATTCTGCTCCGCAATAAAACCGTACATTAATTATACTGCTTTGCCAATCATGTTGTATCATCATATAGACATAATCGATTTGATTTTGTGTGTGCAAATCACGTGATGTCCAGGTATATTTACGAAGATTCTTACGTTTAAGTGTAATACTTTAATTACTAAGTTTTTCGAGATGGCAAAGTTTGTCAGATGGATCCCATAATCATTACTATATTTGTGCAAACTTTCTTTACCAATAGTCGGAAATTAAACTTCTTCCCTTCCCACCTTTGCATTCGTGTCATTTACAACTATTTTCATGGAGTTTTGCAGTAGTTTACCATTACAATTCACATTTGACTCCATCATCACTGTTTTTAGTGGGACAATATATATTTATTAACATGATTATAATCAATGCACCTGAAATGTGACTACTGAACGTCCCTCAAATAGGATAGCAGACTACTGAAAGTCTGCTGAAAAATTGAACGTCCCTCAAATAGGATAGCAATTTATTCATAATTAGAAACCCGGTGTACCTAAACAATGATTCCCGCTTCCTCCATACCAAATAGTGTACTTTTCTTCCCTTATCAAGCTCTCCCCTGGTCAGTGAACCTCTTGCAAAGCCACGATATTCAAATTGTACCCATTTAACTCGTTCATGGCTGATTTTAACTCGCCTGCTGAATTAAAACTCCTTACATTCCACGTACCAATATCTAAATCCCTATTTTTCAACTTGAATTCCCTAAAGCAGTCCCCACCCGGAGACCCGAACGGGGGACTAATTTACTTCTGGATAATGAGCGTTTTACCTTAGTATATATATATTATAGTGGTAATTACAGAGGCATAGCACTTCTTCCGGTCGCCTACAAAATAATGACTAATATTCTGCTAAATCGGACATATCCGTATTATGAGAACATAATAGGCAACCATCAAACAGGATTCAGGAGAGGGAGGAGAATGCTAGATCAGATATTCATCCTAAAACAAGTACTTGAAAAATGATGGGAAGTAGATCAGGACGTACATTATTTGTCGACTTCAAATCAGCCTATGACTCCGTTGACAGAAACTGTCTCTGGAAGATCATGACTGAGCTGGGTGTTGCCGGGAAATTAGTGAGGTTGACGAAGGCGTGTACAAATGATCCTAAATGCAGAGTACTAATACAAGTAGAAGTATCCGAAGCCTTTGAAGTTCGAACTGGTTTGAGACAAGGAGATGGACTCTCGCCGATGTTGTTCAACTTAGCACTAGAGAAAGTAATAAGAATAACATCACGTAAAGATGGAGGGGTGCACGTTGGAATGAAACATAAAATTCTAGCATATGCAAACGATATAGCTGTCCTCAGAAGTAATCAAGAGGATATTGAGAGACTCGCTCGGACTCTATTAAAAGAAGCAGAGCAAATTGGACTACAGGTCAATGTAGATAAAACAAAATACATGATAATTAGCCGAAACATCCACCCTAATAACATGATCTGCGTGGGCTCTAAGTCATTCCCGAAAGTAGACAGATTCAAATACCTCGGGGCTCCACAATAACCTCAATAAATGATCAACTAACAGAGATAGACCAGCGAATAACAAGTGCGAACAGATCGTTCTTCTCTCTTTCAAAGGTACTGAAATCCAGAAAAATCTCCAGAATTGGAAATAAAAGTTCTACATAGGATAACAGGACCTATATGGGACCAGAACCTTGACACATGGAGAAGGAACAATAAAGAACTGCTGAAAGAAACGGGTCAGTCAATATCTCATGACATGAAGGCAAGGAGGTTAAGATGGGCAGGGCATGTAGCTCGTAGCAATCCATCAGGACACCTTTACACGACAATGAATGCCAGAGTAGTAGGCAAGAGACCACGTGGAAGGCCAAAAACCAGATGGATAGATAGGATAAGCAAAGATACGGCTGAGCTTCATGCCGCAAACTGGAAAGCAGTAGCCCAAGATAGGCAGAGATGGAGAAGGCTGGTTCAGGTGGCCAAAGATCTACAAGGTCTGTACAGCCAATCGAAAAAAAAATATATATATATATATATATATATATATATATATATATATATATATTCTTAATTTACATCAAAAGCCAGAAGCAGCTTCCCAGGGAATTTCCACCCACCATCCATGGGACACTCCCCTATGCGGTAATGAATCTGCGTGAGGACTCAGTTTTTAAGAAAATAATTTAAATAATCTCACATCATATGACTAATTGATATTTGAAACACTTACAATTACCTCAGATGAAACAAATAATTTTTGTTTAAAATTTTATTCCTCAAACACTTAACGAGCTAAAATGATGTTGTACTGTCTATTTTTCTGAAGAGAGGGTGACAAAATTTTCTAGGTTGCATAGACCTCATTTCAATGCAAATTTTTATTTTATTTTGTAAAAAAATATATATATTTTATATTTAATAAAACAAAGCTAACTCCCTTAAAGTTAAACCTCAACAAAAGTAATATAAATAAATAAATACAAAACTTGATAGAAATTATTTTATTTTTAATCCAAAAATATTGGAGGTCTTTTCTCGAATGGCATCCCTTAGCTAAGTGTGTTTTATTTCTGATTATCTGATTTTGATTAATGCTAAGGAAGGAAATATTTAAAGATTATTTTTCATCTCCCAAACGATCAAGCGATTTGAGAGAGTACGGTGAAATTCTCTAAAGGTGTATTTTTGATTAATTTCATGAAACGACATCTTATGATATGTATATATATATATATATATATATATATATATATACTTTTTAAATACTTCATATAATATGCATAGCTCTTGGGAACAATTTTTAATATTTTAAATACTGCTGAAAAGAGAGAATATCTTATATAAAATAGACATTCAGAACTGTTGTAACTTAGGAACTTTGAGAGTATCATAATTGGCACCCATGTTCAGACTACGGTAGACTCAGGACACACCATCGGTCTTCACCAAACCTCCCGGATGCACTGTTATTTCAAGTTTTAGGTAACTCTGTACTTTTTTTAAATGGATGGCTAAGCGGGCTAATGCGTTGTGTAAACCACAAGCGTACAAATTCAAATCACAGTGATGGGGAGATTTTTAACTCTGGCATTAATCTCTCGCCCTCTCAGCTGGCCCACAAAAAAATAAGCATTGCCTAAAAGGCGAAGAAGGGAAGAAAAAGAAAAAAAAAAAAATTTGTATCCTAATGAAGCTCAAATTTGCACGATTTTTTTTCCATGCAAGTATTTAATTGCAATATAGAATAAGATTATCTAGGATGAAATAAATCAGGTTACACCTACAACTACACCCATGAAAATTGTGTCTGTTAAAGTCCAATATATAGTTGTTTGGATGTGTATGTACAGTTGTTTGGGATGTGTATGTGTATGGAGGTACTAAATGTCTCAAAATAAGGATGATATGCATTTTTATGGTCATTAATAATTTACAATGCTTCATCATATCAAATTAACATCAACACAATGGTGCTAGAGATGAGTAAAGAAAAGATCAACTTTAAAGAATCCATCTATAGAACTGAAAATATTAATAGACATATCGCTCATCAAAAATGGCTAGATAAAAATTTGAATATCTTGTTTAATGCTAGTTTAGAAGGAAGAAAGGAGTGATTTAATTAGAACTTAGAACTTTACAGTTAATCAACTTTGTTCAGTTGAACAGTTTGTTAGTTTAACTGAAGCCAGAAACAACCCTTAGTATATAATATTTAAAGAAAAAGTACCTGGATTATAGGAGTATGTGGTATGGAAGAATCTCCTGGAGGAGTAACAGCTCCTAGTGCAATAGCAGGACTCCAAACCTCGGCCGTTTCTGGTAAGTTAGCACTATAACTACCCACAACAGGAACACCATGATTGCCCAGCTCGACATAGCCCTCTGTTGTGAGTTTCGTCTCTATGGGTACAAAAGTAATAATAGATGAAAATAGAATGACATTTGATAACCAAGCCTTTCCCAAAAGCAAAATTATTAATACCAAAACTAGAGCATGTAGAAAGTGTTAAACGAGATCGTGATTGGAGAGATGAAGAATTCCTTCTATAAGAGTAGTCTTCACGTTGTTTATCATAATTTCCTTCGATAGTGAACTTAGAGCATTCTATTATTACGTCATTTGCTTCAATTTTTTTCCATCTAATATAAAAAATATTGTATCAACATCATTACCATAAATTATTAATAAATAAAATTTGTTCTCTGTAGTTGTCTTATTTGAAAAAAAAAACAAAAAACAATTTTGACTATCCTCATAGTCGCATTGACAAGTACAGTAAATGACAAGAAACATACATAACTTAAATTGTGAACTTAATGCCTTCTATTATTACGCCATTTACTTCAATTTTCACATCTATTACAAAAAATGTGCGAGTAGCAGTAATCTATCACTAAGGTCCTTTTTATTTTCCTCTCATTTCTTACTTTCCCTTACCTATACATGTAAGTGAAGTATATAAGGGAAGTATTACGATCATGAAAATTTTTGAATCTGAGTTTTCAATCTGAGAAATACAGGTTTTGAGTCCTCCAGGGTGAATAACCAGGTCCTGCAACATGGTCTATGTGTGTGTGTATATGTATCTGAACAGTCTAGCTCAAAAACAAAAAATTGCATGGAACTGAAATTGCGTATTTTCGATTTGTATATGTCTGGGATGTTACAGCAACATTTTCCTGGAAATCGGTTAACCGGAAGTGGCATTTGATATTATCGATTTTCCACATTTTTACAATTACCTCAAAAATGGCACAAACCATTTTGATTAAACTTGGTGTATTAATGTATAATTAAATGGTATTTAATATCAGATAGGTTTTATCCCCTATCTACTAGGTTTCATAGGTTAAGTAACTTTAATTTGGTTCATTTTGAATAATCAACTATCTCTCATTGTTACCAGGAAAAATAAAAGACTTTTCTACTTGATTAAAAGAGAAAAAATGTCAAATATTTTTTAGGTTGAAAATAAATTTCATGAAATAAGAGTCAGATGGTATATGTATAATATATAGTTGGAAAGCTGAAAATTTTAGAAAAAAACAATATCTAACATACAAAATTGTAGAAGGTAATGGAGAGTGACAAAAAAATTGGTAAATACGAATTTGTGAAAACTATTATTATCAAACGGAAACAACATGTTTCTTAGAAAATGAAATCAAAATTTCTAACTAAATGTAAATTTTTAAAATTGAAAAGTATATTGTTTGAAAAGTTATTTCATTGTACTTGTGTGAAATATAAAATTTTTGCATAGATGAGTAAAACATATGTTTATAACCTTCAATAAATTAATTGTACATTTCACTTGTAATTTTATAACTCTAGATCAAATAATATGTTTAAATGATTAGATATCTATCATTGGTTATTTTAGAAAAATCATCATGTAACAGTTCAGAAAATTAAATTAGTGAATAATTTGACCATTTTCTCTCTGTGAAATCACAAATTATCCACTTAAATTAGTGTGGCAACTTTTGACCTATCAACGGTAGGCAATGAAAATCTCGTAATTCTATTTTAATAAACTTTACAATGGAAAAATGAAAGTTCAAGGACTAATAGGAGTACAATCCATAATCATTTATATATAACTTAAATCCATAATCATTTATATATAAGTTAAAGATAAAAAGGTATTTTCAAATCTCTCTAGACATACATGGCTTAGAGATTGGAGTTATGTGATTTTCAAAAACAGACGAAATTACGAGGTTTACTTTGTCTACCATCAATTTAATAAATAGGGTTTGTGCTATTTTAATAACCTTAACGAGTTGCTACAGGTTAGCTGTAAGGTTTAAGGTTCAGCTCAGTTAAAAATAAACAAAAAAATTTGTAATCCCCCAACATTGCCAGAAAATAATTGCTATTCAAATTAGAGAATTAAGTGAAAGTTGTGTGATGCGCAAACCAGATTTGTCGATTAGGTTGAGAAGTGATTTAATTGTTTTGTTAAGGCTTAATTGAGAATACCGAATATAATTTAAAAATCAATTGAACTACTGAATTTCATTCAAATTTTGAACATTGTTCTTGTTATAATTTTTTTTGCCAAATCTAATTTTTCAAAATTGTGGGGATAGGGAAAAAAAGTCAATAACTCCGAAAAGATCTTTCTCTGATACAATCTCAATTAACACATAAATTTTCAATCCTCTAACTTGATTTGGAGATTTTGTAGAAGTGTGCAAAAACTTATAAACTAAGAAAAAACATAAACGAAAAATGGCTGGGATGAGAGAAAAAATTTGAAGCTCCCAAAAGGCACTTATCTAAGAATAACTCAATTTACTTACTTAATAAATCTCAACTGTCTAACTACATGTGGAGGGACCATACAAGTACAATCAATTCTTAAAGAAATGGAAAAATTCCTCCAAAAAATTTTGTTCAAACTAAAATTTATCTAATTTTTTTTTGGTAATGTCCTGCCTAAAAAACAATCATAGGTACCAACCAAAATTCAGTTCATTTGATAACAAAAATGGCTCCTATATGTATATGCAAGGTGTTCTATATATGCAGGATTCTTCAGATATTTAACCAATAAATAAAGAATTTTTAATGTAAATATTGAGATTTATTGAGTAATTTATGATTTTACATATACTTACATTTCTATCAGTCAAAACAAAGAAGTTTCATTATTTAATATGATATGATACAACTCCGACAATATTATATAAATGCAGTTTTCATAAATGCTTTCATTGTTATTATTTAATATTTAATTGTATAGATCACAGCGATATAAAAATTAAAATTTTTATTTACTTTACACTAGATTGCTGGGGGGAACTAGTCTGGCATGTGGGCCACTTGGTCCTTTTTGCTAGGACATTTGTATAGATACTGGTACTTAAACAAAAACAATACTCACAATGAAATATAAATAAACATAGTGGTCTTCTTTAACAGCAGCATTCTTATCAGACTAAAAATATTTCATGACACTTAAATATTTATTATAATCAAATAAATAATTTAAATATACAGACCTAAAAGGAAATGGCTTATGTCAAACAAAATAGATATAATACATTAGAGGGCTATGAAAAATATACAATAATTAATTGTTTTAAATAATGTTTCGTACTGTCAATAATTTTTACTTTCAATTCCCTATGTCTAGAAATAATTATTTCTGGTAAGAAGAGGGTGGTAAGCGAAAGTAGTGTGATGTGTTCACCGCACCAGATTTTTATCTTTAAACATGGAAAAATAAAGGTATTGATTTAATTTGATCAGAGAGGATTATCAATAAGAATTGGAATATTCCATATTATGTTGTGATAAGCAAAGCAAAAATACTTCCAGTAGTTGAATGCCAGCAACTATAAGTGATTATTATCATAATTAGGCTGAATAAAAGGTGGATAATGTTGGTTCTTGGGATGTGTAATGAAAATTATAAGGGTGCAGCTAAAATGTCTTTAAAGGAATGAGGCGAACTTGTGTGCAGAAGAAAATAAGGAATATTACATAAGTAACTACAGCTGAAGATAGAATCGGAAATATTCTTTATACAATTTCTTTAAATTGAATATATATTAGTTGACCGTTGCATTATAAAGGAAGGAGATGGTCCGGGGTTGCTGTCATAAATAGGCTAAATAGTGGTAAAACTATTTTATTGAAAGCCGAAGTTTCGACCCGACTTTGCAGGTCTTCTTCAGGGCTAGAACGGACAAGATACAAAAAGATAGAGAATTGTGGCAGTTACATAATATTTAGACATGATTTATAAACAATGTGAATAAGCTTATTAAAATTATAAACATAAACATAAACAGTACAATATTTTATTGCACTTACTGTTTATAATTTTAATAAGCTTATTCACATTGTTTATTAATTATGTCTAAATATTATGTAACTGCCACAATTCTCTATCTTTTTGTATCTTGTCCGTTCTAGCCCTGAAGAAGACCTGCAAAGTCGGGTCGAAACGTCGGCTTTCAATAAAATAGTTTTACCACTATTTAGCCTATTTATGACCGCAACCCCGGACCATCTCCTTCCTTTAATTTCTTTAAATCTTCTTGGCTAGGATAAGTAGTGTCACTAAAAGTTCAATTCGGAGATACTCAAGAAGTTGTACTTTCCATGCATTTCACTCACTGCATCTACAGTGACCATGAGAGTAGAATGGAATTTTTCGGCTAAATTTTATTTCACAGAATATTGTTTAGTGGTGAACAACATTCTGCAGTGAAGGAATGTTAAACCATCACAATTCACATTATCGGGCTCAGCAAAATTCTAGCTAAGTGAGGTTTATCACTAAATGTGTGGTGTGACAGTAAGGCCGAGTTTCCTCGCTGCAGCCTCCAGGTCCAGAAATGATTGTGCAACCGCTTCCCAAGAACGCTCAATAATGTCTATATTGTCAACAAAAGCGAGGAGCTGAACAGTCCTATTGAAGATCGTGCCAGATGTTTGTACTTGGGACTCAGGAACTGCTTTTTCTAGGACCAAGAGAAACAGGAGGCATACCAGAACATCACCCTGTCTTACAACCCTTCTTTCCTCTGAAAATTCCTCCGATACGTTGCCCTTTATTTTAACAACACACACCACCTCGTCCATTGTTAACTTGGTCACCCTGATAAGCTTGGAGGGGATGTTGAACTGGCGTAATGCATCATACAGCTTTTGGTCGATCGTGTCATGGCTGATTTAAAATCAACCAAGAGGTGTTGAGTTATCAGCTTATATTCCTGTCCCCATTCCAAGATAGTCCTCAGAAAGACTTTTTTAGTTTGTTGAGAGCCTCACTTACCTCATCATCAAGTGATTCCAGGTCATCCGTTCCATCCTGACCGAAGGGCAACTCTGTCCCTTGGCTATCTATGCTTTGACCATTCAAAAGCTCCTTTAAATATTTTCTCCATTCTGCTAGGCAGGCTTGTTCCTTGGATAGGAGAGCTCTCTGGTCATCCATATACATTGAAGGTATTTGTTTGAATGGTCTGACTGTGAACCCTACAGGCGATGTCCAGGTACCCTTGTGGATGTTTTTGTGTGGGAACACTGTGCTTACAATTTTAAGGCTTCGGAAGCAGCAAAGTTGACTAGTCAGGTGCCGTTGTTATTGCTCTCTTCATGCAAACTGTATTTACCAATGGTTGGGGCATAGATATCCTCTTGACCGAATTTAGCTTTAAAGTCTCCAGGTAGGTCCACCTACTAAAATTAAGGTACCTACTAAAATTAAGCCTCCGGCAATAATTTTCATATTGTGGCGAGGTAGGGAGTCGAGCGTATTGTCGTATTGTCTATGCCACTTTGGTCATAGAAATCATCCTTGTCTTCATCATTAGTTTCTTCAGTTGGGGCATGTACACTAAGGATTGAGAAGTTATAAAACCTCCCGCAAACCCTAAGCACAGATATCCTAGGACTTACTGGCTTAAATCCGATAACTAATCTTCTGAATGATTTCCTTACGATGAATCCCGTCCCAAAGGTGTGTACCCAATCGCTGCAACTGTAGAATACCGTGTGGTTTCTTTTCTCTAGCGTGCCATGGCCTATCCACCAGATTTCTTGGATGGCGGTTATGTCCAAATTGTATTTATCTATTTCGTTCAAGAGCACATTAAGTGTTCCGGGTCTATACAATGAAAGAATATTTCAATATCCAATATTGAACCTATGACATTTGCCGGGTCTTTTCCGTGAATCTTCGTAGATTTCTGAGGCTTTTGCTTGGGGTTTCTTGATGGTTGAATTTTGCCGACACCACCAATCGCTTATTACACACCTCCATATACGTTCACTGTCTAAACCCAGTCCCTTCAGATCGGCTTTAATGCAATCTTTCCACCTTCACTTCGGTTTACCCCTCGGATGCTTACCATTTGGCACAGCAAATATTAACCTTTTAGGAATTCTCTCGTTACTAAGCCCAACAACTTTACAAGCCCATTTGATTCGCCGCGATGAAATTATCTCAATTATATTACCCGGATGCAGTTCACGCAATTCGGCGTTGTGTAACCATCTGAACTCTCCGTTTAACTCATCCTTCTTCGGTCCGAATGTTCTACGCAATACTTTATTTTCAAAAAGCTTAAGACGCTGCTCATTCCTTAATGTAAGTGGCCAAGTTTAGCACTCATAAAGAACTAGGCAAGATAATTGTTTTATAGATTCTAATTTTTAAGTTCCGGGACAAGAGGTGCGAACTAAGTAGTTTTGTCACAGAAAAAAACAAGGATTTTCCGCCTTCAGTCTAACCTTAATCTCTTCTTCAATTTCGTTTTTTCTAGTTATCGTAGAACCTAGATACCTAAATTCCTCTACCTGTTCAAACATATTACTATCTATATCGATATCACCAGTAGTATCGCCATTTTTGCAGCTAACCATATATTTTGTTTTATCCACGTTTATTTCGAGTCCTAGTTCTTTACTGGCTTTCATTAACATTGTCGTATTTAGTTTTATAGTTTTAATGTCTTCGCTTGAAACTAAAGCCCAGCACGGATGTTGCCCCACCCAGATTCAACCCTTTCTCAGTACGCATTACCTCCCTAATGATCAATATAAACAAACAAAACTAAAATACTTATGTTTCTTTATTTATTGAGTATTTTTCAAAAATGAAGAGTAAAGAGGAAACACTGAAATTTGAGTGAGTACTTAAGCCTCAAATATAAATATTTTGGGAATAATAAATTACGCATCTCAAAGATCTTGATGAGAGCAACAACTTTGATACTTTGCAGTTCCAGTTCTGTGATATCTCTAATTTTTTCCATGGTGGCCTGCATATATCGGACACCCTATGCGTATGTAAGTATGTGTTTGTATATAATTAGTTAATATACAAACAATCAACAAATTTTAAATAGTGACATTGATAAATAAACTAAAGATTTCCAGTATATAAAGATCAATATTCAAATATTATAAGGAATTAGAAGCTACATCTTATGACTACATAGAGAGACAAATTTCACTTATTAATACAAAATCACTTTATACATACAAAAATAATGAAATTGTAAATTATTATATCTATAAATTGTACTATAATGATCATAGATAAATATTGCACATTAGTTTTTTATCATTAACTTATAAAAATAAATAATTACTAGGTAAATTTCTGTACAATTAATTTCTACAGACTTTACCTGTTAGCAGATACTTCTAGTTCCTTAGAGGCAGTAACTAAAAGAGGATGCATTCGGACAGTATCAAGCATTGGCTGTGTACAAACAAATGATAAATCATTACCAATTAAATATATTTTATACAATTATTAAAAAAATTATAAGGATGAAAAATGGTCAGGATGTACAGTCAAAAATTTGTTTTTTGAGTTTGTCGATATTTGAAGTTTGACTGCACATTCTGACCATTATTTATCCTTATGATTTTCAACAGTCAACTATATACTCATCTCTAAAGTAAAAAATGTATAAGTAATATTTATAGCTAGAATTAATACTGAAGTTTTAATAACATCGGTCATTAATTATGTCATTAAAATAAATAAATAAAGCCTTTATTCATAAAAATATAGAATGATACATATTTATTTACTATAAAGTTTTAAAATACTTTATAAAGTTTTAAAATAATAACCATAAAGTTTGTTTACACTGACTAACAAAAGCCAAATTAAAAGATTTAAAAAGCATTGTTAATTTCAGAATTAAGTCAAATATTGAACAAAGGCCTCCCTCAGTCTTTGCCAATCTTCTCATGAATCTGCTTTTCTCATTCAGGCTATGCATGTTACCTTAGTAATATTGTCTCTCCATCTCATCAGCCATCTTCCTCTTCTTATAGTGGCCACCATTTTATCACTTGCTTCGTCCATCTTTCATCAGCCATCGGTGCGATGTGCTGGGCCCATTGCCATTTTAGTTTTAACGGACCTCTTTGATAACCTTGGTTTCAGTTATGTGCCTTATATTCTCATTTTTTTATTCTATCACTCAAATTTCTGATACATTCAAATGTCTTCTGATACATGTATTTATATATAGGGATATGAAAAACATAAGGTAATTAATTGTTTTAAATAATGTTTCGTACCGTCAATAATTTTTCTTTCATAATGATGTAGAGATGGTTGACCGTTGATATAATATGAGAAGGAGTTAGTCGAGGGTGCGGTCAGATAAATAAAAAAATAAAATATATTAATTATTTTAATTTTTGCCGACGTTTTGACCCACTTTGCAGGTCGTCTTCAGGGCGTAGCATGTGGCACTGCGGGAGGCAGTTGAAACACTCCTGATTGATTTTTTGCGTTTTTTGAGTGTTTCAACTGCCTCCCACAGTGCCACATCCTATGCCCTGAAGACGACCTGCAAAGTGGGTCAAAACATCGGCAAAAATTAAAATAATTAATATATTTTAATTTTTTATTTATCTGACCGCACCCTCGACTAACTCCTTCTCAATTTCTCTTTCAATTCACAATACTTTGTGTATCTCCCTAATTCTCTTTCGATCCCCCTAAACAAAAGTGTAGTGTATCCAGTACATTCATCTCCATTTTTAACTTTAACTTTAAGTCAATTAATGTGTTTCTTAGTTAGGGTCCATGTTTGAACTCCATATGTGATACATGGCATAATAGATGTTTCAAGAACTTTAGATTTCAGAGTTAAAATGAAAGGTCATTAGAAGCTGTTAAGGATGCATTTATAGCACTGAAGAATGCTACAGATAAACTTTAGAAAAACTAAATATCTTAATGTGAATTCCACAGAGTCTAGTCAGGTAACAAATATAATAATAGAAGGGCAGGTAACTGAAAAGGTTGAGGAGATCATATACACTGGATTAAGATTAGATGAACAAAATGAATGAAATTGGTGCACAAAAGGAGAATAGTAGCAGCTAACCGCAGCTATTTTGTACTATATAAACATCTCCGAAGCAACCTTATATTGGAGCCCCCAAAAATACAGATTTATAAAGCCCTTATCTGATCTGTACTGACTTATGGGCTTTGAAACATGGTCCATTACAAAATGTCAAGAAGCTCCAATGCTACGTTTTGAAAGAAAAGTTCTCAGAACAATTTATGGACTATTTTTTCAGTGTATGGAGAAGGACAAACACAGAGTTGAAAGCAATGTACAAGGAGATTGATGTGATCCAGCATATCAACCTACGAAGGCTTCATTGGGCTGGACATGTTGTGAGAATGGGAGAGTAGGGGATCTTGTCAAAGTGTTCCGGCAGCAAATATTTGGAGTTCATCGCATACCAGGAATTGGCTGGGAGGAATGTGTCACTTTGAACGCCAAAGCCCTCCATAATATCTATAATAGGAAGATTGGAAAGTAGCAGCATTGGATAGAGAAAACTGGCGGTCAATGTTGAAGCAGACCAAGACTCAAATTTAGTGAGGCATAGAGCCGATGGAAGATTTTTCTATGCAATTGATATACACCCCTATCTATTTCTTTCTTCGCCCTCTTGTAAAGGAAATTAGCTGGCCAAGGTATATAGCATCTTCTACTCATTTTATTTTGTTTCAACATATAACTATGTTATCTTGTCATCCGTTGGGGAGCATTTGGGTTTTATTTCTAGTCCTACATTTTTACTCTGAAAACTTGGAATTACAAGTCAGTTCACCCACATTCATAAACTCTCTTCTATGCTAACCTCTTCTTTGTTCTCATAAAAGGTATTTTCGTTGTCTGTCAACTTCTTTCTTTTTGTCATACGGTTTTTGTATGACTTTTCCAATTTTACCAATACTATTAGTATTATCTACGTATAAAAAAGAAGTCTCTACAGTTCATAATGGAAGTCTCAAAAGATTATTCATGATTTTGAATTCTTTACCTTATTTTTTTGGTTATTACTCATTAGAATAGTTAAAGCTACTGAGTAAAACACGCCATCTAATCAATCTGGATGCTCCTATTTTTGACAAGTCTGTTTTATTTCTAAATATTCTCAACAATACCTTATGATCTGTTTGTAAGGTGAAACGTTACTCAACTAAATAATAGTAAAACTTATTAACATCACCATTATGGCCAAATCCTCAGTGGTGGAAAAGTTTTGTTCACTTTTCCTCAGAGTTCTAGATCAGGGTTAAGTGCATGATGATTTGTATCATTTAAGCGCATCAACTGCAGCACCATCAATCGCCTTCACAGTAGCACCATCTATTGGCGTAGAGAAGTACTAGAAATATCTGCCAGAGTCCTACCAGGGAACTAGATTTGGCTGGTCAAGGTACAGCAGAGCTTGCAAAATGCTCTCCATGACTCAACAGCAAGAAAAAAGTACCATGTCTAGACCAGCATTAAGGAGTAGCACAAGGAAGCAGCATACGTACCAGCACATTATTTCTAGCCCAGATGAACATAAGAAAAAGCCAGTCCCTTGATGGGAGACTGAAGACAACAGCGTCTACCTGATCACTCCACCAGCCAGCATCTACCAGGTCAATATGAGTACCATTTCCAAAATAATTACTAACAAATGTATCTTTTATTTTAATTAATTCAATAAACTTAATTTATTTTATTCATTCACTAGACTCATAAAGAACACCCCTCCCTTCAGCACTTAGATCCTATTTTTTTTATTTCTTATTTCTTGTTTCCTGGGTCAGGAGAGAAAGTGGGGGATTATTGTCACAGTTAAGAGTCCCTCTTCCCCAGCATCGGGACACGAACTTGTAATTATTTAATCAAACTATATTCTGTTGCCAGGCAATGTTTTTCACACATTAGCCTATACAGCCACCCATCTCCTTCAGGCTTTATTTATTTCTCCTACTTCGGGATATGGGAAGGCTTAATTCACTTTACAATCGGATTAAGTGTTCCATCGGGTTCTAGGTTGTAACTATGCCCTGATAACTTTTTTTTTAAAGCTTCATTAGATTTATGGATCAGTTTAGATATTTCCTAAAAAAAATTTCCTTTGCGCTTTTCCAACTAGTTCCAGAAGTGGAACAATGGCAGATTCAGGTTATACAAAGAATTTTTTTCTTAATAGTTTTTTTAGAATATCAATACAAGAATAGTGTTGTTCTTAATAATATTGACTATTGATAATAGTAAAATATTATAATAGTTTGTAAAATAATAGAAAATGCGTATGTTAGAATATGGAATAAAAAACAAATTTCTTATGTTAAAATATGATTTACAATTCGTGATATTGGGGAAAACAATCAATATGAATGCATTTCTGACATTCTTAGCATTGATATTTTGTGATGGTGCCACAATGAAGACATCTTCCTCAGAAAGCCGAAATAATATATTGTCCACATGCCTTATGCCTGCTAGGAGGGATCGAAGTCTTCGGAGCTGTCAGCGGCCTATCTTTCTGCGGTAGAACTCACATACATTACCGAATTACTATAAATTCTGAGTAAGAAACACGATGAAGTCACTACAAGAACACAGTAAGGACTGAGAAAACTAATACCAAAGGATGTTTGGCATAGTATTTCCAATAATATGTGTTTTAAGAAACTAAAAAAATTAAGCAGTTTTTCTTTATTGGTAAAGAATTACACAAAAAATCGAAAATCTTAATTGGCAATTAGTAGTTCTATGAATTTTCATGTGCAGTTTTGTACTAAGAAAAAAAAGGTAGAAAACAACGAATAGAACATTTCTATAGCATGAACCTGCCATTGCCCCATATGTAAAACATTAATATTTAAAGTAGTAAAACTGATTTTTAGAATTTCCATTTTTTTATTTACATTTTCTACAATGCATTATTTCCAGTAATCTATTACAATCAATTAAATCAATATTCCAATTAAATTTAATTGCTGTAGTATTAAAACAAACAAAAAATCAGAAACTTTAACTATTTATTTACCAAACTAAAAGTGAGAAAATCTGTATTGAAAAAAATTATTTCAACCTTTGTTGTGATGAAAAAAAAACTTTGAAAAAAAATAATGATTAGGTTGGGCAAAAAAATTGTTTAATATATGTTCCACTTCTGAAACAATGGCATGTAAAAGGTTAATAGAAATGATTCATCTCAACGTCCTAATGGTTTATCTGTCATAACACTTTCTTTATGCCTAAAATTATTTCTTCCTCCTCAAAAGCTCATTTCCACTTTGAATTCTTCTGTAACAATTAACGAATAGGAACACATCTGGATAATCCTGGATAAATCTTGAGTAGTACTTTCATCATTATATTCTATTTCCTCTTTACCACTTAAGCAATGTGAGGTTGGCTATTG